AAAAAATTAATATTTTGACTATAACACTTGAATAACTTACCATTTTGTTACAACCAAATTTCACATTACCATTATCTAACTAATGTTTATATGCTCCATTCTAGATCAACCAAAATCATTTCCCTTCAATTGTTGTAGATAAGTAAAAGTTTTTTTGTTTTGTTTTTTATAATGGATAAATTGTGATCATTGAGATGCATTTTGTGGGTTTGTTTGGTTTAGTTTTCAAACTAATTTTTGAGAATTCAAAATTCAAAATTTGTTTAATTTATAATTTTCTTAAAACTATTTTCAATCATTTTTTATTTATTTATATCTTCTCTTCTCCTCTCATATCTTGCCTGAATAATTATTCAGTAATTTCAGAATATGGACACGTGGTATTCTATCGTATTATGATTGGTGGTGAAAGTGGGTAGGTGGGGTATTGTGTTGGGTGATTGGAGAACATAAAGGTATATTGAATGATGATTAGTTAGGGAGTACAGACATGCAGTACTAAAGAAGAGTTAATCCGTGAAAAATTCACACTTACAAAGTTATATGTTATTTGTTCCAAAATTTAATAATTTTTTTATTGACAAGGTCAAGCTGAAAACGTCGCCTACGTCGGAAGTCTAGAAAGCTGTCGGAAAGTCACCAGCGATTGGTGGTGATGAGGTAAATAAATCGGTGACATTTGATGTTAGGAAACCAATTGTATTAGGAAGTCGACTTCTTTTCAATTACTATCTAATCAATTTAGGAAGTCTATATTATTTTGTTTAGGAAGTCTATGTTATTTTGTTTTTCTTGTATAAGGATATTTATTGTGATGGTTTTCTGTCATGAGACTAGTGGTTGGGTATGTACATTGCACGTGACACGTGAATTTTCATTAACGGTTAGTATGCGTGTCTCTTAAATTAGTATGTGATATATATACAAAATATGGAGACTTATATAAATGAATTGATCTATATCTAAAATACAACTAAGTAAGAAATGAATACATATACGGCTAAAGAACTTAAATGATAAATGAGAAATTTTATAAACATAAATATTAATTTATAACTAAATTGTTGATATCACAATTTTATCTTAAACAATAAATAATAAGCAGATCCTTTAAATATATAGTATTATACAAATTTTTTTCTATCAACTTTTCACTTTAATTTTTCATAATTAATTGCACAACTATACATTTTTGTTTCATAGTTCATCTCATAATACAAATTCATTAAACCCACTATTACATGTTATTTGTATACTATTGGTGTAAGAATGTATTAATATCAATATGTTGTATATTTTTATATATCAAGAGTTGTTGAATCTCATTTTCTATGCCATGAATATCATGCATGATGAAAAATATAACATTAGTTATTTGTATATTTTCATTTATATGGAAAATAATAGTTTTTTTAAGGAAATAGAATGATATTATAACTTAATATTTCGATCGATATACAAATTTCATAATTGTTTTCACGATATTTATAGATTCATGCTTATAAGTGTTTGTAGGATTATTTTCATAAAACTGTCAAATTACATAACTTATTATGTCATCTATAAGTAATCAGCACATGACAAAAATTGATCAAATTTTTTTATTTAGTGTACTTACTTTCTACATCATTAAATTGCTACGATAATATTTGGACATCATTTGATTTTTTTTTCCTTGTAATTTGACTAAAATATGTGTATGAGGTGCATTATTTTTCTTGAACTTCATAACATATAGGACAATTCTTATTTCAGCTTGTCTAATTTTGCTTCGAAAGCATGTTGCAATAGATTTTCTTTAATTTTTATTTCACCATATTCTTGCTCACTATTATAACTATTCTAATAAAAATATTTTGATGAGTAAAAGTTTGAGGCGATATCATGTTATTATGAATTTCAAATTTTATTTTCCCTAAATAATGTGATTTTTTCTGTGAGGGGAAAAAAGTACAATTATTGTTGTGATAGAGGTGTTTTGTAAAGTCTCGATTTGTTATTAAAAGTGTTTGTTGTGGTTACTTGTTTGTATGACATGTATGTATATGTGTATTGAACATAAATTGATAGGAGAACAATACACAAATTAACAATTTTTTCTAACAAATATAGCTATATTACTAAAGCAATATATGTTAGAAAATTAAAATATCGGATGAAAACAATATAATACAGCTAACAATGGGAAATTAATTATTCATAATTAAGTAGCTAGCCATAATGTAGATGTTTAATGTTATATTTTTGTGTGTATGCACCATTTTTTGATCAGATTATTAAATTCACATAAAAATTGAAAGAAATTTGTGAATAATTTGTGTAAAATTAGATATTAGTGAAGAAAGATTTTAAAAAAGAGAAGTCTATTGTGTTTGATTTGGTTTGGTTTATTTTTTCAAACTTTTGTTTTGAATTTTTTGGTTTTCATATTTTTGTCTTTGACACATTTTTTTAGTAACCCTTTTATTTTCCATTTGTATTCACTTAATTTAATATTTTTTTATTTTTTAATTTTACTTTTAGATTTAGATCCAGTTAATCTAAATATACTTAGAAAATAATTTGTTGTATATATTTTTTTTGGAAAAAAATTATTAATATTAAAAACGAATAATAATTACAAAAAAAATATATAATAAAAAATTAGTACATGTTTGAATTTATAAAAAAAATTATCAATATTTTACTTTTAAATTTTATTTAAATTATTAGATATTAGATATTAGATTTTCATGTAAAAGTATAATCTAAATATAAAAAATACGAAGAAATTCTAATATCTTTAATTACCAAAACTGAGAAAATATAAAAAAAATCAAAAACTAAAAAAAAAATTAAAAAAATAAAACCAACAAAGTGGTTTTTGTTTAGAATTTTGACATCATACTTTAGTTATTAAAGTACCATGTAAAATATTACACTTTATAAAATATAATTTAAACAAAAAGAGAGTGTATGAAGATTACACATGCACTTTCCTCTGTTTAGATTCGAAAGAATGTATACGACTTTAAGATTCAACTAAAATTATTCACAATAATTTGATATAATGATGGACAATTGTAAATATTATGTATATCAGTATAGAAGAAGACACAAGAAACAGGAAAGAGTAATTATTTTTTGTTTTTTAATTATCATTAATGTAAAAAATAGGGAGACGACCTTTATATATATATATATATATATAAGAAGGGAGACGGTGTGTTTATATTTATACAAGACTCTTGAAAAATAAAGGTAAAAAATAGAGAGACGACTTTTATATATATATATATATAAGAAGGGAGACGGTGTGTTTATATTTATACAAGACTCTTGAAAAATAAAGAGATAATTGGTTTATATATGACTCTTCATGACTTTTAGAATCCTATATATATAAATATAAACAAACAATTTTCCTTATTTTTTTATAAAAAAAAGTTTCCATATTTTTTACATTCATGATGATTAAAGAATAAAAAATTATTATTATTTCTTATTTCTTGTGTCTACTTCTATACTGATATTTACAATTTTCCATCATAGATCACATCACTGTGAATAATTTTAGTTAAATCTTAAAATTGTATGCATTCGTTTGCAATTGTTTGAATCTAGACAGAGGAAAGTGCATATGCTTTTAAATCAGCAATTTATATTGCATCTCAAAATTTCATAGGTTATCTTCATACACTTTCTTTTTGTTTGAATTATATTTTATAAACTGTAATATTGTACATAGTACTTTAATAACTAAAATATAACGTCAAATTTCTAAATAAGAACCACTTTAATTAATTTTTTTTAAAAATTTGTTTATCATTTTTTTAATTTTTTCACATTTTCTCAGTTTTGGTGATTAAAGATACTAGAATTTCTTCATATTTTATATTTAAAATACCATGTAAAATATTACACTTCATAAAATATAATTTAAATAAAAAGAAGGTGTATGAATTCCTCTGTCTAGATTTGAAAGAATGTATACAACTTTAAGATTCAATTAAAATTATTCACAGTGATTTAATATAATGATGGACAATTGTAAATATTATGTATATCAGTATAGAAGAAGACATAGGAAATAAGAAAGAATAATTATTTTTTGTTCTTCAATTATCATCAATGTAAAAAATAAGGAGACGACCTTATATACATATAAGAAGAAAGATATAGGATTATTCATGACTTTTAAAAAATATAGTAGATTTAAAAAGATAAAATTGGGATTTAAAAAAAGTAGAAAACGTATATGCTCTTCATACTTTTATAATAGTAGTAGATTATTAATATTCAGGGCCGGCCCTGGGCTAAGGCTGGTAAGGCCTATGCCTAGGGCCCCAAAAATTAGGTCCAAAAAAGGGCCCCCAAATTTAGTCTTGTATTATATTAAAATTTTAAGATGGCCTAATTCTGTTTAATTAATTTAGGCCATTTTAAAGGAGGCCTCAACAAATCTCTTTGGCCCAATTGATAAAAGGCCTAATTGAAAAATATTTATAAGTTTTAGTTGTTAGTCCAATTAAAAAAATAAAATATAAAATATATGTATATGCATTAGTCGTTAGCCTAATTTTATGTGGCATATTTTTTTTCTCTTTATGGCCTAATTATGTGTTTTTTAGTATTTTTTTAAAAAATATTTTATACAATTTTTATTTATTTATTTATTTTGTAGATATATCTAATTTAGATACGCTTAAAAACTATAACATTTATATTTTTTTGAAAAAAATGTTACCAAATACAAAAATATAAAAAAAAATACAAATTGTAAACTTAGACAATTATTTTTGAAAACTCTAAACCAAACAAAGTGATTTTTATTTTTATTTTTAATAAATATCTAAAAAAGCTCCGAAAAATTAGTTTGCCTTAGGCTCTCAGAAACTCAGGGCCGGCCCTGCCCCGGCACGGGGGAATATTCCTTCTGGAGGGACCACCGTGGGTTCCCCCAGTCATTCTTGCTCAAGGGGTCGGGCCCAACGTCCCAGTATTGGCGAACAGGGCCATGGATGGGTGACAAATGGAGTGGTACACCAGAGTTGCCACTTAATTACATATTCAATGTTAGTTATGTTGACAGCAATGAAGAGTTTTCTGTGATGTATGGTCTCACTAATGCCTCAATCATGTCGATGATGTTCTTGGATGAATCTGGGTATTTACAACGGAGCACATGGCATGAGGACAGTGCTAGATGGGTCGTGGTCTGGTCAGCCCCAAAGGAACCGTGTGATTATTACGGACGATGTGGTCCGTATGGTAATTGTGATCCAAATAATGGGCAGGAGTTCGAGTGCACTTGCCTCCCAGGATATGAGCCCGTGTCAGCACGTGACTGGTATTGACGAGAGTTTGAGAAATTGTTCATGCTCAGCTTACACTAGTGAAGGAGGAGGCATTTGCATCACGTGGTATGGGAATTTGACGGATACAAGAGTGTTCTCTAATGGGGGATTGGACTTGTACGTACGGGTGGATGCAGTCGAATTAGGACCTAGTTGTTTTTATATTTTTGCTTACTTTATTAGGAGCTACTTGTACTGCTGCCTAAAAAAAATTAAAAAATATATATATATATATATATGTATTTGTTAACTACATGGACTTAATTACTAAAGTTGTAAATCTTTTAATATTGGTTTTTAATAATTTGGACCCTTAATTTCTGTCATCTATGGTGTAGTGTTAGTATGTGTGTGTGCCAGAGATTTTGGTGTGCCAAAGGGGTGAGTGGGTGTCCTTCCATCATAGAGAGCATGTTTTGGTGGGATAGAATTACATGGTTCATCTTCTAAATGTTTTTGTTGGTTTTTGCACAACCCTTGATTAGATTTTGTTGTGTGTGTGTGTGTGTGTGGAAAAATTAATATACTTGTGATATCCTATTATAGTGGATCTGTTGATTGTCTTTACCTATGGACATTTAGGTCTATTGGTGGGTGAACTGTAAATTTTTGTGTTTTGTGATCATTCTTTCTACTTACTTTTTATTTCATATTTTTCACTCTCAATTGCAGAACAAAACTTGACAAGCATTAAATTTTCTTGTGTTTTGTGATTAACCGAGGCAGGAGGCAACATTCAGGTCAATGATGAAGAAAAAGTAGAATTACCTATCTTTGATATCGTCACCATTAGCAGGGCAACTGACAAGTTTTGTGACACAAATAAAATTGGAGAAGGTGGTTTTGGGCCTATTTACAAGGTTGGTTTATTCCATTCCTACACTAGCTATTTTAATGGACAAATGGAATTCTTCACAAGGAAAAAATAAAAAAGCTATAAGCTTTCGCATGATGATCAAACTAAATCTTTATGTTGATTATCATAGGGTCTGCTATCAACTGGAAAGGAGATAGCTGTCAAACAGCTCTCAACTACCTCGAAACAAGGTCTTAATGAATTCAAAAGTGAAATGACTTTGATTGCCAAACTTCAATACTGTAATCTGGTTATGCTTTTGGGATGTTGCATCCATGGAGAAGAAAGAATGTTAATTTACGAGTACATGCCCAATGGAAGCTTGGATTCTCTCATTTTTGGTTTGCCCTCTTGACCTTCCTCATCTATGTATTGTTAGCTTGGAATTCATATTTGACCAATGGAACAGAAAAGTATGTTAATAGAAGAAGTTTGTCTCACTACAATAATGTAAGCAATCCTATATATCACCGGGTATTCTTGATCACTATTTTCTTAATAATTATTCATCAAACAATGAAATTGATTACGCCTATCCAAGTAGGTGCTGAAATAGAATAGTGACAGAAAAACCAATGGCATATATTATTTTTGAAATAGAATAAATTTTAAAATCTCATAAATTAAAGAAAACCTTAAGCCCCTGTATTCAAAGCAGGAGTAGAAAACACAAGAAGTAAATCACTTACATGGAGGAGACGCTTAGATATTGTTGTTGGGATTGCTCAAGGGGTTCTTTATCTACATCGAGATTCAAGATTGAGAATTATTCATAGGGATCTCAGAGCCAGCAATGTCTTATTGGATTGTGGGATGAATCCTAAAATTTCAGATTTTGGCCTAGCTAGGACTTTTGGAGGAGATCAATCATCCGCAACAACAAGAAGAGTGGTTGGAACTTAGTAAGTGCAATACTCTTTTTCCTTATATAGACTCAGCTACGAAGTCACTAGCTTTTTTAGTACATCTCTAAAGCTCATTTTGCACTCATTTCTAAATTGTTTGGAAATGGTATACAGTGGTTACATGTCACCGGAATATGTAATTGATGGCCTCTTTTCAATAAAATCTGATGTCTTTAGCTTTGGAGTCATGATATTAGAAATATTGAGTGGCAAAAGCAATAGGCGATTCCATCATCCAGACCATAATTTTAACCTTCTTGGGCATGTAAGTTCATTTAGTTTGTTTTGTTTTGTTTTTTATGTTTAAATTTTTTATTTTTTAGTCAAAAACATCTGTCAGTTTCATATCATTTTCATTTTGTAAGAAAACAGTGTTCAAAAATTCAAACACAACCTTTTCTTGTTTCTTGAAAAATAGGTTGTTTTAAATATATATATATATTTTTTAAAAATAGTTTTCAAATTGAAAGAAAAGAAAAACGCAATAAAACAATTATATTTGCCAATTATTGAATTTTGTTATGGCTATATTGAATCATCTTAGGCATGGACACTTTGGATAGAAGGGAAGGCATGTGAGCTATTAGATCCACTGGTGGAGGGTTCATTTTCAATGTCAGAAGTACTAAGGTGCATACAGATTGGTCTTTTATGCGTGCAAAAATGCCCCAAAGATAGGCCAACTATAGTGCTGCCCCAACCCAACCAACCTGGCTTTTATACAGAGAGGAAATCTAGTGACAAATTATTTGTTGGCTACTACACAAATCATTTTAGTGAATATACACAAATAATTATTTGTTGGCTATTTCAAACAATTCTTTTATACAGAGAGGAAATCTCTTGATTAAATTTTTAAAATTATTTTTATGGTACTTACGTGGTGATTTATGGATACTACACAAATCATTCTCATTCATTACATACTAATAAAGACAAAAAAATCAATCGTTGATTTGCTAATGAGTAGAATCAAATGGAGAAAAAAAAAACGAGATGATTTCCACGTTCATTCCTATCTCTAGAACTAATTCTACTTACCAAACAACATAATTCATTTTTTATTTCTATTTCAAACTCGAATTGTTAAATGAATAATGCTTGGGACCCCCTTTTGGGGATCACCCCCTCACCCCCCTTTGCCACGTGGCAGGTGGTGATTGGAGGAGCAGGAAAAAAAAGAAAAAGAAAAAAAAAATGTAACCAATGAAGAAAAAAATGTAAATCAATTCTGATAAAGTTCATTTCCCTCTTGCGTTTATGTCAAGTACAAAGTAGGAAATGCAGTTTCCTGAGAAAATTCAATGAACATGCAGGGATGGGATTTTAGCTTGAAAGTTTTGAATATTTAACATAAAGTTCCCACTAATTGAGGCATAAAGTAGAGGTGTTCATCATCCCGTTGGCCCACCAACCCCGTCTAGTCGAGCACAATATTTTTAATGTTTGGAAAATTTGTTTTCTTCGTAGGATGGAACTATACTGAGATTTTATACCCATTTAATATCTACACTGAACTTGAGATAAAAAGCTCTAGCCCAACTCAACCTACCGCCCATATATAAAATATTAACTGTAATTTTATACTAGTTTAATTATAAAATAAAATAAAAAAATATATAAAAGACAAGAATATATATATATACTTCTTTCTAGAGCTTAAATTAAAACATTCATTAAAATTATATTTATTTTACCATTGAATTTTGTTAACATTCTAAATTTAAATAATAAATAAAAGAATTTAAATAATTTAATATCGATTCAAGATGAAAATAATTTTTAAAAAACACAATAATAGTCCATATTTATTGGGTTCAGTGGGCGCGCTTGAAATTTAAATTTTAAGGCCGAGCTTGGAATAATTAGATTAGGTTCGAAGTTAGGTCGGGCCAGGTCGGACTTGGGATAACACATATTTTTTTACTATACAATGCTAGCCCAGTTCGACCCGAGATTTGTCCACTCCTAGCATAAAGGCCCTGGTAAGAACAAACCCTGAACAAAACAGCTCCATTTCCACTATTTCCAGAGGATCCATCTATTTTGTTTGGAAAAAAGGTAAGGCCATGCAAATATAAATTTTCTTACAAAATTTTTATACAGGATTTGTGAATTTTCTTTTCTAAGTCAAAACACTCATTATAAAAAATACAACTACCATATCATTTTGCAGTAAATTGCATCCATTTTGAATTAAAATTGTTATTAGTTATTCGAATTTGATGGGTAAATTGAATGAAATAAAAGAATTAAAAAGATTGCTTATTTCTTTCTTAGGTAAGTGAAAAAAATGAACTGCAGAGCAGGACAACTGTTATCATGGAAATTAATGGGAAGCAAACTACCTTGTAAAACAACGTACGTGCTTACAATTAACAATTGTAGTTGTAAACCACAAAGTCTATCCTAATATATCCACGATGGCATAACATGTTACGTGTTAATTTTTATTTGTCACAAACTTAACTAGTAAAGTCTAAACTCTCTTATTGTGTCATTGTGGGTTTTAAATTGTGAGTCTCTAACATTCTTCTTAACCAGTAAACTCATACCTATCAAATCCATGGTTTGCAGAACAGAAGGTTTAAGTTCTCAACATTTATTAGTGAAAACGTCTACCGAAGTTAGAAAGCAAAATCTATAGCTAGAAATCACAAAGAAACATAATTTACAGGTAGCACTTAACTGAGAGTTGATTGCTCAAAATCTTTGATTCATTTCATCTAATGTTTTAAAACATAAACAATTTAAGAAATCAAGGAATGACTGTTTTAAAATTAATCCACCAAAATGATGGAACAAATAATTCAATGAACATGATAATTATCCATAAATCAATGAACATGATAATTATTTGTTAAAAATAATTAATCAATGAACATGATAATTATCCATAAATCAACAAATAATCATCTAGTGACAAATTATTTGTTGGCTACTACACAAATAAAAATAATATGACTATGTCACAACTAGATCCTCTATAAAATTGTTTGAAATAATTTATTAGTGAATATACTATAAGACACTACTACCGAGAATGATAAATAAATCATCACAAACCACATATACAAATTTGTAAATTTGTAAAATTGTGAAGTGCTTTGAGATATAGCCATCAACCATGATTGATTTGATTTATTTATAAGAGTCTCATTTTTTTATTTTTTTTTATTTTTTAACATCAACAGTTGAGGAAGAGATCAACCATTCCATGAAGAACAGGTTAACAAAAATGGCATTTCTAAATTTTTTTCAGTAAAGGGCAAAAAATTATTGCTTGCTACTCGGCATGGGTCTACATTAACAAGAATATGCCACACCTTCACCTACCTTTCTGTAATTTTTTTTTTCTTTATAAATAATTTCATAGGCATATATTATTTTTGAAATAGAATTAAATTTTAAAATCTTATAAATTAAAGAAAACCTTAAGCGCCATGTAGAAAACACAAGAAGTAAATCACTCACATGGATGAAACACTTTTAGATATTATTGTTGGGATTGCTCAAGGAGTTTTTTTTTTTATTTACATTGAGATTCAAGATTGAGAATTATTTATAGGGATCTCAAAGCTAGCAATGTCTTATTGGATTGTGAGATGAATCTTAAAATTTCGGATTTTGGTCTAGCTACGCCTTTTGGAGGAGATCAATCATCCCCAAGGACAAGAAGGGTGGTTGGAACTCAGTGAGTGTACAAGCTTAGCTAAGAGAAGCCATTAGATTTTTGATTATATCTTTAAAGCTTGTTTCGCTCTAATTTCTAAATTGTTTGGTATGCAACGGTTACATGTAATATGCAATTGCCGGTCTCTTTTCAATGAAATCCAATATCTTTAACTTTGGAGTCATAGTCTTAGAAATATTGAGTGAATAAAGCAATATGCGGTTCCATCATCGGACCATTATTTTAACCTTCTTGGACATGCAAGTTCATCTAGTTTTCAAATTGAAAGAAAAGAAAAACACAGTAAAACAAGTCTATTTGGATTGAATCATTTCAGGCGTTGACACTTTGGACTGAAGGAAAGGCGTGTGAGCTATTAGAGCCACTAGTAGACGATTCATTTCCAATGTCAGAGGTATTAAGGTGCATACATATTGATCTTCTATGCATGCAAAAATATCCTGAAGACAGACCAACTATGTCAACTGTGCTTTTAATGTTGATTACTGGGACTATGGTATTGTCCCAACCAAAATAACTTGGCTTTTATGTAGAGAGAAAATCTAATGACGCAAATTACGTGTTGGCTCAAAGCAATGAATTGACTATATCACAACTAGAGACACGATAAAGCTGCTAGAAAATTTTAGTTGTGAATATACTACAATCACTACTACCAATGTAAACAAATAATCATCACAAAACAAATGAATAAAATAGTCAAACAGGCAAATTTGTAAATTGAAAATAAAGTAGAAGATTTGGCTTGTGATTATGCGAAATGTGAAATCATTGCTTTAAAGATGTAATTGTTGTTCACATGGTTTGTGAAAATTTATGTGGAAAAAAACAAAGAAAGAAAAAGAAGTGTCCCTTACTGCTTTTCTATGATCCAACACAAAATCATGAATTCCATCCTTCATAATCCCATAAAATACCGCCCATCCACAAAATCATGAATTCCATCCTTCATAATCCCATAAAATACCGCCCATCCACAAAATCATGAATTCCATCCTTCATAAAATTGTTAACATTAAATATATTAAAAAAGAAAGAAAAAAGATTGAAGGTATATTTAACTTTTGTTGTGAACCTTAAAAAAAAAAAAAAAAAATAAATAAAAATAAATTGTTAACATTAAATATATTTAAAAAAAAGAAAAAAGATTGAAGGTATATTTAGTTTTTGTTGTGAACTTTTAAAAAAAAAAAAAAAGTGATTGTTAACATTAAATATAAAAAATAAAAAAAAAGGGGATTAAAGTGGGTTGGGAAAAATCCATACCCATTAAAAAATGGGGAGGGTGGTACCCATGGAGAATGGGGAATAGGGAATGGGGAAAATTTATTATAGAAAAATGGGGATAGAGAATTAATATCCACCCTATTGCCCCCCATTGCCATTCCTACCTAACGGCACCGAATAACCCTTCAACGCCAAGTATTTTCCTTGCTGGAAAATGACGAGTAAACCAATCCCAAAACAATCAAAAGAAGGCCATCATGCAAAGAGACTTTAGTCCTTGTGCAACTACTCCATATAAAGTGATTGCAACTGTATTTGATTTTGGGAATCACCTTTTATAAGGTTTAACAAAAATATAGTTAGTTTGATACTTTTTTAGATAATCATAATAATTTTTTTTTTATTTATTTATAGTAAAGGTTAAAGTGAATGAAAGGAATGCAAATGATAGACACTAAGATAAATAAATATTTTAGTAAAAAATAGATGATAATATCCTTTTTTTTTTTTTTTTTAACTTATACAACTAATGAATGAAGAAGAGCGTAACTGTTATGCTAATTAAAAGTTCAAGGGAGACTAGTATAATTATATTAAAAATATAGAACTAACTGTAATTTTTTTCAAATCTCAAAAAACGTGAGTGCAAATTACCTTAATTTTTATTTATTTATCGCAATGGATGTGGTTGCAAATGCATGTTATTTCAAAAACTTCAGAGTTGAAAATATTGATAATTTTTTGTATCATCCTCCCTGCATGATATC